TTTTCTCTCTGGGGTTTACCTACTCTGGAATTTTATAGAAGGGAACCGTATAATCTGGAGGTTTTTGTGACTGGATCCTTGCACTTAGCATAATGTTTCCAAGGTTCAGCTATGTTGCAAAATACATGAGACTTCACTTTGTATGATGATATATTGTTTTGTTTATCTATTCATTGACTCATGGACATTTGTTTCCACTTCTCTATTCTAAATGATGCTGTTACAGATACTCCTTTTATGTGATGAGTTACTTTCTTCTTGCTGCTTTCAAAGACTCTTTGGCATTGGCTTTGGAAAGAGTAGACTATGGTGCATGTGCCTAAGTAGTAATCTTTTATAGGTGATCCTTCTTGGAGGTTTGTTGAGCTTCTTGGATATACAGTTCATGTTTTACATCAAATGTGAGAAGTTTTTTATCATTTATTCAAATGTTCTTTCCTTTTCTGTCCCCTTCTGTTTCTCCTCTTCTTGGCTCTAAGTATGTGTACATTGGAATGCTTGATAGTATTGCATAGGTCCTGGGATATTTCTGGGTATTCACAACTGGATATTCTTCATTGACTTGCTTTCAAACTCACTGCTTTTTTCTTTCCCAGGTCAAAGCTAATGCTGGTACCTTTGAATGAATAGAGAAAATACTATAAACCAAGTTGATTGTGAACAACAGAAAATTATTTCTCACGATTTTGGAGGTCAGAAGTCCAAGATCAGGTTGGTGGCCAGCACAATCAAGCCAGATTATCCTCTTCCGGGTTGAAGATTGCAGGCTTCTCATTGTGGCCTCATGGAGAAAGGCATAAGAGAGCATTCTGGGTTCTGTTTATGGGTTCTGTTTATGGATTCTAGTCCCCTTTGTAACAGCTCTCATACCTTAGTCACCTCCCAAAAAGTCCACTTCCAGGATCCTCACATGAGAAATTGTTTGAATTTGGGGGAGCATAAATATTCAGTCCACACCACCTTTCCAAATTCTGGACTTCTTTTTGGATTTTCTTTTTAACTTTTTGAATCAGGGTCTCACTAAGTCACCAGGCTGCCTAGTGTGAGCTCAATTTGCAGTCACTCTATCTCAGCCTCCCAGAGTGCTGTGATTACACTGTGTGTCACTAACACCTAGCTTTTTTGTATAATCTCTAGCTATTGTTATTCATTTATTTGGTGCATTATCGCCATTTTTCAGATACAAAGTCATGCTTATTTTTAACATTTCACAACTTGAACATCACAACGCAGGCTTACCAATCCTTAGAAAGCAGTATTAAGTCCATCAGCATTACCTTACATTAGAACCATAACATTTTTCCCTTGCAGTTGAAACAAACATTGTGTTTCCTACCTCCCTGGTCTGGGCCGAGCTCTGGCTTGGTGGAGCTCTGTAGTTCCCTTCTCAGCTTGGAGGTCTGTGAGAAGTGATAAGAGGAGCAGAAAGCAGCAGTTTTTCCCTATCAAATAACCCTATAAAAGTCTGTAGAAGTCCAGAAAGATTTGTGGAGGCCTTTATTAATAACCTTTGCTTTAAGCTACTTTCTCACTTTCTCCTAAGTATGTAAATTTATAGTTTTTTTTTTCCCTTCTGGAAACAAATAAATTTAGCAAACTGTGTAGTATCAGTGTATTGAAAACTAAAAATTAATATAAGAAAGCAAAAAAGACCTAAATAAATGTAGAGTTATATTGATTGTGAATTAGAAGAAAATACCCCTGAAGGAAATAACAATTTTGAAAAACAACAGAGTTTGAGAATTTATACTACCACATATCAAGACTCACTACAAAGCCATAGTGAGACAGAGATATGCTGGAGCCAACCTATTACCAGCTCATGAAAGCCAAATGTTGAATTTTTAGAAGCTGTACAGGTTGGTTGTTGTCATATTGGTTATTTGAAATTGTCTTTTAGGAGGGTATTTTTTAAACAAAAATCAGCAAACCACAAATTAGGACCACACTACCCCCCAACCCTTAGGAACCTGTTATGCCAAGCAGGGGCCAGGCTATCTCAGGGAAGCTCTCCAAGCCGTAGCACCCCTACTGTGTGAGAGAACTGTTGCAGGCCTTATTGGAAGTTTTTCTGGACTATGCAGGTCTTCCAAGTCAGCTTTGAATCTACACCAAGGGGCCCAATAATAATATCCTTGGCTACACTTTGGATAGATAGTAAAAGGTTTTGTTGAAGGGACAGTTAGTGGCTGTGCTGCCCCTATGGGTGCAGCAGAGGACTTTTGGCAAAATGTCCCTCATTCCTACAGTTGAAACAAGGAACTCTATTTCTCCCCTTTCCTCTAGGCTGTGAATGAATCACCTGAGTGACAGCTGCTGCCAATGTAGTCCCAGCACAGATGAAGGCCCAGTGTCCGCGTGAATCTAAATCGTCTCAGCCAGTGCACCTTTGTGTGCAGTCTTAAAGCCTTTTCACATCATTTATTTGTATTTTCAAAGGTAAATTGTTGAACAATTAGATTAAAGGATGACTATTTTATGAAGAATGAAAATCACAGCAAAATTGTGATGCAGCAAAATTACCCTGAACCGAGAAGGTGGGGATTGCTGCTTGTACTTCAGTTAAGGATACCGGGGTGGCTGCTGTCCTGCCATCTTTTCTTGCTTGGAACTTGATTTTAAAATAGTGCTCTGAGCCAAATCCTTTGGGATCATCCCAACAAACTTACAACCACTGAAGCACTCCCTAATGCAAGTCCACAAAAATAAATACATAAATCAAGACTATGACAAACATTTCCATATACATCTGTGGTTCTTGAGGACTTGTTTGCCCCATGATTAACAACTGGTAAAGTCAATTTCTTTCCCTTTTGTTTTTTGTAATACTATTTCTCTTTGGCTTTTCTCAAGCCTATTTTTTCTTTGGTTCTAGTGAACCCATTCTTTGCCCCAAGTCTAACCGCTGATGATGTCAGTCCACTCCAGTGATGAATATTGACCAATGCACTTCTCCCCTCCCCCACTATTTCTTCTTACCTCAGTCCCTGTTTGGGCACCATATGCCGCATACCAGCACAGCTCTTAATGTACCCAGGGTGGGAAAGGATGGCAAGAAGTTGAGAAAGAAAAGAGATGAATGCTGAGGTCAGGTGGAGCCCTGTCTCCTGATGGGAGAAAAGGAACTGCTCAGCTATGGTAACATGTTTATTTATGCACTCTGCCTAGCAACTTGTTTGTCTGGCTGTCCTGGGGCCCTTGTTTCAGTGCCTCACTTTGGTCTCCTCATGTTCTCAGGGCTGGCCTAGCTTTAGCCCCAAATGTGTGATCAGTCTCCAGCTTCAGCTGCTCCCTACACATTATTTTGACAGGGTTCCTTTAGAACTTTGAACACTTAAGATAACTAATTTGTGTCCATGGAGGCTTCTTCAGACATAGTTTCTATGGGTTGCTTTTTCTCTTGTGTATGAGTCACATTTTCTTGTCCATTTGATGTCATATTTTTTTTTGAAAGATGGGTGTTTTAAATATTAGGATGTGTCAACTCTGAAAATCAGTTACACTCCTTTCCAAGGGTTTGTTGTTGTTGCTCTCAGCTATTACTTTGGTTCCTGTTTTTCCTTTTAACTTTCCTAGACTAATTCTGTGAAGTCTGTATTCTCTGTCCTTTTCAGGACATCTGTCACTGGTTATCTTAATAGTTATCTTAATAGTTAAATTGGAATCTGTCACTGGTTATCTTAATAGTTAGCTAACAACCGCACAGAGGTCTTAAACAACTTGAACTGGTGAAACCCGCAGCCTTTGCCCAAGGGTTCTCTGTGTGTGTTGAAGCTGCTTTCAGTATTCTAGCAGGCCACTTCCAACTCTGCTTTTGGTACTTTAGCAGGCTGCTTCTGCTTTGGCAGAGTCTTAAGATCAGCCAAAATCAAGGGTCTAGGACTTTCCAGGCTGTCCTGAACACAGTCCAGGGCCTGCAGACATCTTCTAGATATGTAGAGATTTCTCCAAACTTCATATAGGCATCTATTTTACTAGATTTCCTCTCATTTAGTGGTCAGCCTCTTGGTAACCCCATCTTGCGAGGATGCCATGGATAATACTATGTGAAATAATTTCTCATTATTGGTAAGACTATAATAGCAATGCAGAGTAATCCCTTGTAGGTAAAGCTGTTTACACAGAACAAGCTCTGAGTCAAGTCAAGCAAGGATAAGACCCAGGAATAGACTTTACTGAGCTGCCTGATAGGTGAAAGAGTAACAATTCTCTGGGCTGGGATTTAGGGAGTTCCAAAGTTGCTCTTCCCCCTGCAGTGGCTTCTAGACAGCTGTTTTCACAGCTTCCACAATTTGAGGGTTGCTGATTTACAAGGCCTCCTGGGCTGAGAGTGGCATGAAATGAGGGCAGTGTGGAATGTCACAGATTCTGGGCTTCTTACTAGACTCAGCCATTTTTTTAAATAAGCATCCCCTGAACTGTTCCAAACCTTTCGTTAATTTACAGTGTGCTAGAAAAGTTCTGATTTTGACAGTTCTTCTTGTTTCTATGGAGAAACAGCTTTTTTGGAGGTGAAAGAGAGAAAAGAATATACTCCTTCCTTAACTCTTGTAAATTTATTGTGGGGACAGATTCCCCTGCAACAGAAGACAGAGAAGCAAGAGACAAACAAGCAAGTTCATGAATGGACAGGTGCACATCATATGGAATTAAAGTCATTCACAGCAGTGGCTCAGGATCTCCCTTCAATTTATTTCAACAAAGAGCAATATATTTTAGATAAGTGATGAGGGAAAGAAAAGCTGCTCCAGGCTTCAGAGTTCAGTGTTAAGATAAGTTTTATGAGAGGATAATCTGCTCCCAGATTTGATTCCTCTGGTATCAGGCTCCCTGAGCAAGCGGGTAAATAAGCATTGTATAGAAGCAACATTGTGAGGAAGAATTTATAGCCATCTTTAGGGCGGAATGGGGAGGACAAAAACAAAAAGACATTTTGCCTTTGAAAACCCCTATCCTGTGTCGGTGTCGATCCCGGCCGGCAGGAAAAAACACACGACACGAGTAGTCGGCGGATAGCCTCTGATTTATTTTCTCTCTCCGTACGCCCTGTTCCGGGATCTCGGATCCCGCCTGAGGGAAGCCTCCTCTGGTCCGTTCCCTACGGCTCCTTGTGTGCTTCTCTCAGCAGTCCCTCTTCTTGGTGTGTGTTCTCGCCCCAGGGGTGGTGTCAGCATATATATGGACACATCGACCAATCACATCAAAGTAGGCAAGACGAGCTGATTGGCCAGCGTCAGCTGTTGCTGGGCAGACTAGCTTACAGGGCGTGTTGTTTACTAGCTAGGGAGCAGGAAATGGGCGCCATCTTGGCATACTCGATGGGAGGGGTAATCTAGCTCAGGCTTCACTCCTCACCACAGGCCTCATATCACTCGGTCGACGGGAGGGGCAATCTAGCTCAGGCTTCACTCCTCACCACAGGCCTCATATCACTCGGTCGACGGGAGGGGCAATCTAGCTCAGGCTTCACTCCTCACCACAGGCCTCATATCACTCGGTCGAGCTCCCAACATCTCCCCCTTCTTTATTTATTAAGATAGGGCGGTCTGTGGGTCCATGTGAGGTGTCTGGGAGTGGGCCTATTTCGCAGGCCGAGGCATGAGAGAATGTAGAGGTCTATACCCTGCTGTGCATCACCTTGTCTCGTACATATCCTTGCGCCAGGACCATGCTCAAGGTGAGTGGTTCATTTTTTCGCAGGGCCAGGCTTTTGTGAACCGAACCTGGATGCATATAGACATTCATTCCTGCCTTCCCCTCAACCCTCGAGGCGGATGGCACTGCAGTACCCTTGGTCTCGCATCTCAATGCCATAACTCTCACTCCCTAGAGGACCCTCGGAGTAGAGCCTGTCTTAGGTTGATCAGGAGAACTTCTCCCGTCTTACCCGTCGTTGGCTTGCCCACTCAACTCTTAAAGCTTATATCTTGGGGGAGACACGGAGGGGTCAGCCGAGTGACATTTGAGGAACCGCGTAATCACTAATTACCAACCATAATCCCCGTTCACTACAATCACTAATTACTATTTTCTAATTATCAATGGGAACACGCCTTAAGCGTGGGGTCCTTCTAGTCTAAGTTCGCAGCCGCGACGGGGAAGGAGACGTACGTAATAATACTAGAACATCCGTAAGAATAATGGCGAGGGCAGCCACGTACTGGTTAAAGGAGCCGTGCCTTTCTAGCCTGAGCCCAGAAAACGCTAGGTGTGGAATCCCCTTGACTCTGGGCCAGCAACATCATCATTGTCATATGTGTCTTTTGGGTCGCCCTTATCGACCGCAGGCACCTAAGAGTCACGAGAGTGACAATCACAAGAGCAAGAATGATCCCATACGCAAGAAGTGACGAAGGTTTGAAGAAGGAGCCTATCTGGCTTAGGACATCATCAAAAAAGGAGGCTGTAAGTATAGGCACCTCTATCTGATCTAGCTGCCGGATAGTCATATCCAGGCGCACGCTAGCGTTCCAAAAGGAAGAATTATAGGTGGTGAGAACATAATCCTGAAATTGCCTGTAAGCCGAACGGTTGACCTGGATGGGGGTAACGCACAACTGGGTGAATGCCCATCTGGCGTCACATAAATTGTTAGCCACCTCCCAGAGTCCCTGGACTTCCTGAGCGATTAGGTCGATCTGCTGCTGTAACGCCATTATGGCGTTGTGCTGGAGGAGGTTGACTTCTTGTTGCTCCCTCAGCGCCAGGGAGGTGGTGTCCGTAAGATTGGTAAAGGCCTGAGCCGTCAGCGTAGACTGGGTCAGAGCAACGGCAGCCGTCACAGCCGTCGCAGTCAGAGTCACGAACAGTGCTGTCAGGGCCGCTGTGATCCCAAAATCTCTCTTACGTCTGAGCATGGGTAGTTGGTCCTGCTGATAGACGGGATGAACCCAAACAGATTCGTTAAAGGGAACCCACATCAGTGGGGGTCGAAGAGCCAACATAGCATACGGGAAAGACCCATTCCAGCAGTTCCCTGTAAAGCATGGTTGGTTACTGCACTTAAAGGAGATGTCAGCAGAGAATACCCATAAGTAGGGCGGTTTTACGCATGCAGCCTCAGAATTAAGGGTGACATTGGTGGTTCCATTAGAGGCAGAAGCGTTAATAGCGAGCATGGGTCTTAAGTCCATGCAGGCTCCGGTGGAGAGGCACAACCAATTTTCATTAAGGGGGAAGGGGAAGCTTATTGCCCACTTGTTGTTCACTCTCAGGTAGGACTCCCACCAGGTCAACGCGAATATGTTGTTACTACCGGATGGAGGAGAGAACCGGGACCACCAAGACATGTTTAGATGAGTCACTCCCACGCCGTCGACAGTACAGGGCTGCCATGAAAGTTGTGACAGGTCCACCATCTGTCTTTTTCGGCTTGGGGACACACGGTATGGGCATGTGGGGAAATCGGGACGGGTGTGCATGGCTGCTCGGGGTTTGCAGGTTGAGTTAAAAGTGATGACTCCGCCGCTAAGTGTGCCAGCTTTAAAACATCCAGGCGAATGCAGGGATGGGACAGACAACCTCACCGTCAGGGAGGTATTGTACCATTTTACAAGGAGGGGCAGGAAGCTAACGCAGGATCCCCGGTGACACGAGGGGTTACTATTAGTGGAAAAAATGACCACGTCATTGGTGATGGGAAGGTCAAAACGTATGGGTCTGATGGTTAACGGTATATCTGGTATGCAAGGCAATCTGGCGGAGCAGTTTTTTGCATACAACTTTGGGAGAGAGGGGGCTGTGGTGGAGATAGCGGCTAGCGCTGGCGGATGATGTATTGCTGCCCACACCAAGTCTGCTCCTATTTCAGTAGTGGTGGTGAGCATCAAAACCAGAAGGAAGGGGGCTGCCGGAAGGCGGCGTGGCCTAGCCACTCTGGCTGCACCGTACCCTAAAAGAGAGCCAATTACTATCGAGAGCATAATCATTACTGTGTCCCATAAGTCATACGGTATTCCTCGGTCGAGCAGCAATATCCTGGTCGGACCGATCTTGATTAGGCTGTCCGCTGCCGTTGAGTTTTGGAGTGTCTCCTGCATTATGTTTCGTTGGATTCGCCACACGCGTCAGCCGTTCTGGGACCCACAATGGTTCTCGTCCTGGTTCCTGCGGGAAAACACAAACCGCACCTCGGTTCCAGCTAACTACTGGATCCGGGCCCATCCATTGTCCCGTCAGGACATCTTTCCATTTCACCCATCCCCTATTGCCAGGAGATGGATTACAATGTTCCATGGCCGGGGAGTGATTGTTGTTATTCAGGTTCAGAAAATTGTATGTGAACAGTGCCATGGAGAGCCGTGCCTTTGGGGGCAGGCCCTGACTTATTCCCCCTTTTTGTTTTTGTAGAATATCTTTAAGGCTCCTATGAGCCCTTTCAATAATTCCTTGACCTTGGGGATTGTATGGGATGCCATGTTTTAACTGTACCCCCATTTTTTCACAGAACTCATTAAAGGCTCTGCTTGTATAAGCTGGTCCATTATCAGTTTTTAATATTTTTGGTTTGTCCCATGCGGCCCAAGCTGTCAGGCAATGATTGATTACATGAGACACCTTTTCGCCAGTTTCAGCAGTCGCAAATATAATATGAGAGCAGGTGTCCGTAGAGACATGAACATATTTAAGAGATCCGAATTCTATCATATGTGTGACATCCATTTGCCAAGTGTCGCCAGGAATCAATCCCCTGGGGTTAACTCCCGTTGATACGACGGGTGTGTATGTGGCGCAAGAGCCGCATAACCGTACGATGTCCCGCGCGTCAGCCCTGGAAATGTGGTACTGGTTGGCTAACGTCCTGGCGTTGACATGAAATCTGTCATGAAACAGACGGGCTTGTTCTATTGAAGATAACATATTGAGTATCCACAACGGGCGAGTGGCCACGTCAGCTGCCGCATTGCCCTGTACCATGGGCCCTGGCAGGCGCGTATGTGCTCTTATGTGAGTGATGTATATTTTGTTGTGTCTATTTATCAGCAGAGTCTGGATAGACAAAAACAAATTAGTCACTTTGGAGGTTGGCTTAATCGGGCCCGCAGTCTCAAGGACCTGCATGGCATTAACAACGTATTTTGAATCAGAAACAATATTAAGGGCCCCTGGGAACTTCTCGAGGACGGTTTGTACAATTTGTAACTCTACCACCTGTGGTTGATCTGGTTCAAATTGTATGCTGATCGGAGGCATACCTGAGACCACATAAGCCCCTATCCCGGTTTTTGACCCGTCCGTATAGATCGTTGTTGCAGGAGTAAGTGGTGTGGACGCGGTGATTTTTGGAAATATCACCGGATGTTGAGTAACAAACTGTAGTATGGGGTCCCTGGGGAACTGGTTGTCTATCTCCCCAAGAAAAACACATCTCAGGATGGCCCACGTATCTATACAAGCAGTCAGGATTTTTATTTGAGAAGCGGTATAAGGTACCCGAATAGCATGGGGTGCAGAGCCAAAATGTTGGATAGCCCTGCCATGTGCCTCCAAGGCCAGGGAAGCGACCGTTTCCGGATAATGTTCGATAATCTTGGCAGGTGAGACCTTAGGGTGCACCCACAAAAGTGGTCCCTTTTGCCAAATCACTGCCGTAGGTTGAGAAACGGTCTGCAACAAGCAGACCTCAAAAGGCTGTTCTGAGTCAATTCTCCGCAATGCAGCTGTACTTAGGGCTTCCTCTATCTTTCTCAGAGCAACTCTGGCTTCCGGGGTGAACTCCCTGGGGGAGGCAATATCCGGGTCTCCTTTCAGGAGGTCGAACAGGGGCTTTAAGTCCGAGTTAGGGATGTGTAAATAAGGTCTGATCCAGTTTATATCTCCCAGTAGCTTTTGCATGTCATTCAAGGTCCTTAGGCTATCTGTTCTGATGGTTACCTTTTGTGGAGAAATCGATGTGGGGGAGACTTTGGTGCCCAGGTAGGTCACTATGTCTCCTCCCTGAATCTTGTCAGGGGCAATATGTAAATTTGCCTTTCTCAGGGCCCTGACCAATTGGCCAAGCATATCCTCCAACTCAGTCACATCTTTTGCACTGATTAGCAAATCATCCATATAATGAATACATCTAATTCTGGGGAAGGCTTCACGCAAGGGGGCCAGTAGAAAATCAAGATACATCTGACACATGGTGGGACTGTTGGCCATACCCTGGGGTAATGTAACCCACTCGTACCTCTGATCAGGACTCTCTTGGTTAATGGTGGGTAGGGTAAAGGCGAATCTGTGGGTGTCCTCTGGATGCAGGGGGATTGAGAAAAAACAGTCTCTAAGATCTATGGCATAAACTGGCCAGGACCGAGGGATGGCTGAGAGGGCTGGTAGTCCCCTCTGGATCGCCCCCAGGGGCTGCATCTGTGAGTTGACAGCCCTCAGATCATGGAGCAGCCTCCACTTGCCTGATTTCTTCCTGATAACAAAGACAGGGGTATTCCAAGGGGAGGTTGACGGCTTTACGTGTCCCGCCTGAAACTGGGTTTTGACTATCTCAGTTAATGCTAAAAGCTTCTCCTTGGGTAAGGGCCACTGAGGCACCCAAACTGGATTTTGAGATTTCCAGGTGATCTTAATTGGAGCGGGCAGGAGAAGTTTCTCAGTGACCCCTAGGAAAAACCCAACCCGTGTCTACCTTCCCTTTTTTCTACAGGTACGGGGGATGTCCGGCCCTGCAGGGCTGCGCCCAGGCCCTTGCCGGGGACATATCCCTGATTTTTGAGTATCCCTTTGGCTTGGGGAGAGCAGGTGGATGTAAGAGTGACATCCATCTGGGTGAGAACGTCTCTTCCCCACAAGGATACTGGCAGCTGCAAGACAAAAGGTTGAAAATGTCCTCGGTGACCTTCCTCATCACCCCAAGGCAGGGTCACAGCACTAACCTGGGGGGCAGCCACTATCCCCAATCCTTGGAGTGTGTTGTCAGCTGTGTTGGTAGGCCAACTAGGGGGCCAGTCTTTCTTGGAGACGATGGAACGGTCTGCCCCTGTATCTAGGAGTCCTGTTATCTTTTTTCCGTTAATCCTGAGCGATAGCATGGGCCTTTTATCAAGAGTCATATGAAGTCCTTCAAAAATTTCCTTAGAGGAGCCAAGTCCCTGACCCCCTCTAACCCGTTGACCGGACCGGGGTCTCTCATGGAGACTGGGGAACAGTAAAAGTTGTGCTATCTTATCCCCTTCATCAATTACTATGGTCCCTATATGAGATTGTACCATGATTTTGATGTTTCCTAAATAATCTGGGTCTACAACTCCAGGGATCACGGTAAGGCCCCGGAGGGCTGTGGAGGACTGTCCAATCACTAAACCAACTAGCTTGTCGGGTAGTGGTCCTTTGGAGGTGGTTTCAACCACCTGAACGCCCATATCGGGTGTTAATAGGAGTCTGGAGGCGACACAGAGGTCCACGCCTGCTGGCCCGGGGGTGGCCCCTGTGGGGGGGTGCCATCTTGTGTTGTCCTGTCTAGGGAGTGGGGGCCCGTCCGTAAGGAGGGCCCCCTCTGGCCGTTTTTTGGCTCCGTAGTCTCCCTGCCACTAATACGGTTCCCCTGGGCATCAAAAATAGATCTGCAATCTTTTGCTTTGTGAGAACCTTTACCGCACCTTTCGCAGGTTCCCGTTCGTCTGTCTGATTCCTGTCTCTTGGATATAAACTCCCCCTGTCCGGTCTTGGGGCAGTTTTTCCTTATATGGCTGGGATCCCCACACTGGAAACATCCCCTGGGCTTACCAGGGTGATTGGTCTTCTGAGGCCCTGTCTGTTGTAAGGCGGCGGCTAAAAGGGCAGCCACGCCTGAGTTGGATAATGGCCCCCCTATTTCTCTACAAATTTTAATCCACGCCTCTATGTTTTTACCTTTATGGGGTGCTATGGCTGCCCTGCAGTCCTTGGTGCACTGTTCGAAGATTAACTGTTTAATAAGAGGAGCAGCAGCACTCGGATCTGAAAAGAGTCTGTCAGCTGCCTCCTGCATTCTGGCCACAAAATCCACAAAAGGTTCTGTGTTGCCCTGAACAATTTTAGAGAGGCATTGTGAGGCCACCCCTGTGTTGTTTACCTGCTTCCAGGCGCGGATGCCTATGTTATGTATCTGTTCATACACATTTGGAGGGAATCTAGTTTGATCTTGAGCGTACTGACCCTTACCCATAAGCATATCCTCATTTTGCCCCCTATGGCCCCTAGCCGCATTTTTTTCAGCCTGTTCGGCGGCAAACTCAGTATACCAGGCGCGCCAATCCAGAAAAGCCCCGGGGGCCAGGCAGGCTTTAGCCAGTTGGGTCCAATCACTGGGCGTCAGAAAGCCACCGGCAGACAAATTCTCCAACATAGTTATAGTGTAAGGAGCAGTAGGGCCAAATGTGGCAACCGCATTTTTAAGCTCCTTAATTTGCTTGATCTCCAGTGGTTCCCAGTAATTGGGTCCTTGGCCTTGCGCTAGGAGCACCGGATAAAGCCCACATTGTTCATACTCATTCGCCCCTTGAGGAATCTGTTCCATTCTAAATGTCCATCTACGAAAATACCTTCCCTGGGACCTTGGCATTTTTTCACAGGGTGGTGCCTCCCCATGAGATGTCTGTCCCTCCCTATCACAAAATTGTATCTCTTTGTAACATGGCCGACCAGTCTTTGGGGCACAAGATGGCGGGTCGCCAGACAGACAAGATGGTGGCCCTACATGTGACAACGGTCCAGGCCACTCCCTCCATGGGGGGGGTGACGGAGGATGGCCCCAGGCCGCCATCTCACCACAGGAACCGGTGTTTGGGACCTCCCAGGGTGGCGCGGAAGGCTCTACGGCTTTCCGTTGGGGAGTGCTCAGGAGTTTCCTTCCCTTCTCTAGGTCTGTCTGCATCTTGACTAGGTCTCTACGTAAAGCTGCAAAGGGATTAGGGGGGTCACTTGCCTCATTGTCCTCGCCTTCCGAGGTATCTGAGCCCGAGGAATCCGAGGCAGGGGGTACCTCTCTCTTGCCTCACTCTCGCGAGCGCCTCCGCACGCTCCCTGCGACGGACCCCTCTCGGGAGGACTCCGAACGGGCCCCTTCAAAAGCTCGGCGGGCCTGAGAGAGCCCATCTGCGCTATCCTTAGCCCCATTCCTCTCCCCTTTGAGGCATGAATGAATCATCTCCCAGAGCGGCCGAACCGAAAGTGGGAGTCGGCGCTCCTCTTCTGCTCTTTCTAAATCCTTACCTAATTTCTCCCAGCAAGGTAGGGACAAGTGCCCCGTCGGCAGGAACCAGGGTGCCGCCTCATCTACTTGTTGGAGAAACTCCGTAAGTGTCTTGGAGCTCATTGATATACCTGAAATCTTGAGCAGGTCTTTCACCGCTCTTACCAGTGACTTGGAACTCTTAGTGGGTAAGTTGCCCATGCCTGTCACTGAGGAGTCCGTTCTCACCGTGTGAGGCTAACCTGCCACATACACGTGAGCTTGAGGGGAGTCTAAAAAGCCCTGTAGGTGCGCGCCACCCAGAGCCCAGGTTTATCCCCTACTCACCTGTCCTGCAGAGCAATACTGGAGCGTCGTCCGCCTCGCCTCGGGGGTGATCAGTTCCCCGTACGGGCCACCAAATGTCGGTGTCGATCCCGGCCGGCAGGAAAAAACACACGACACGAGTAGTCGGCGGATAGCCTCTGATTTATTTTCTCTCTCCGTACGCCCTGTTCCGGGATCTCGGATCCCGCCTGAGGGAAGCCTCCTCTGGTCCGTTCCCTACGGCTCCTTGTGTGCTTCTCTCAGCAGTCCCTCTTCTTGGTGTGTGTTCTCGCCCCAGGGGTGGTGTCAGCATATATATGGACACATCGACCAATCACATCAAAGTAGGCAAGACGAGCTGATTGGCCAGAGTCAGCTGTTGCTGGGCAGACTAGCTTACAGGGCGTGTTGTTTACTAGCTAGGGAGCAGGAAATGGGCGCCATCTTGGCATACTCGATGGGAGGGGTAATCTAGCTCAGGCTTCACTCCTCACCACAGGCCTCATATCACTCGGTCGACGGGAGGGGCAATCTAGCTCAGGCTTCACTCCTCACCACAGGCCTCATATCACTCGGTCGACGGGAGGGGCAATCTAGCTCAGGCTTCACTCCTCACCACAGGCCTCATATCACTCGGTCGAGCTCCCAACAATCCTGGACTTCGGAGAACATGGTGGACAGATAGCAGCAGCTACGGAGGCTCTCTGAAAGACCCAGCTTAGAATTCCGGAATGGTGCAGAATAAGGAATCATAAGCAAGAGGAGATATGCCCTGCTAACCCAAGAATGAACTGGGCTGAGAGAAACCAACTGGGAATGCAATCCTGGTGCTATAACAGAAACAGAAAAGCCTCAGTGTGGAAGCTGGAGCCCGTGCCATTGGAAGCCGCAATTTGGGTTTCCCGCCGCCGCTGCTGTGTCTACATCAGCTCGGCAGAGAGAGAGACACACGAAGGCTCTGAGAATGGGAATCGGTGAACGGAGTTGAAAGCAGGTCGGGCGGGGAGCTGTGCATTGACCTTCAGTGAGTGAGAGAAACTGGGACTCTTCCACGGTCTAGGAGACTCCAACAGAGGACATTCTGGGACCAGGCAGACTTGCAGGAACAGGGTGCTACAGTGACTTCAGTCACATATCCCCCTCTCAAGCGGGATTGGTGAGCAGTGCCTAGCTTACGTGACGCTGCTGGCTGAGACCCAGGAGGCTAACACAACCCAGATCCCAGCACCTGAAGGTGACCTGGAGGGGCGGACCCCAAATAGGCTGCCTGGTCTGCAACTTCCTGGTGCACTGCGGTGGGTGGGAAAACCTAGCCAGCGCAATTCAATCAGACTGTGGCCCACAGGGAAGAAAGCTGGGCCTCCTATATACTCTTGCATATATAAGGAACAAAGAATATGGGAAGAGGCAGCAACAAGAAAGGCTCCTCAGCCCCCAATCCTGAGAAAGAGGCAATAGCAGACACAGCACCAATAGATATAAAGCACTATCTCAAGAGCCTCATAGACAAGTTCAGGAATGAAGTTATCAATGACCTGAAGCTAGACATAAGCAGAATGGTTAGAAAAATGCTAAGCACCACCCAAGAAAAAACAGATGGTGGAATGGAAGAACAGAAAAAGAGGGGAGAATTGTTTGATGGAGAAAATAGAGAGAGCATAGGATACGTGAAGCAGGTTCAAAGAGATTACCAGGAAACTAAAAACTCTATCGAAAACTGGCATAACAGCTTGAAAGAAACTAAGGACAGATTATCTGAACTGGAGAGCAGATTTGTAATATGGGAGCATGAAATGAAAAACTTCTTAAAAATAACAAAGAAACAAACAGCAATAATACAAAGACTAGAAGATGATAAGAGGATCTATAACTTAAGAATTAAGAACATAAAAGAAGAAGTAGGGACACAAACAAATGAACTACAAAGGCTACTCACAGAAATAATCCAGGAGAATTTTCCTAATTTAGCAAAAGGTAAAGATACTCAGTTGTATGAAGCATACAGGATCCCAACCACCTACAACCCAAACAGAGCAACACCCAGACATTTAATAATTAAAATTCCAGAAATCCAATACAAGAAGAGAATATTAAAAGCCGTCAGAGACAAGAAACAGATCACTTACAAGGGAACACCCATCAGAGTTACAGCAGACTTCTCGGCACAAACCATCAAATCACGAAGGGGGGGGGGAATAATTCAAGCTTTGAAAGATAATAATCTCCAGCCAAGATTGATATATCCTGCACAACTATCCCTGGAAATTGATGGAAAAACAAGGTGCTTCAAGGATAAAGAGGAACTAGGGGAATATGCAACCACCAATTCAACTCTACAGAGAATACTGCAGGATATTCTAAAAAAGAAAAATACGAAGAACCCAGAAATGAATGGAGCAGAAAACAAAATGAAAAAGACAAACTGACAACTAATGACAGAAAAAGAGCTCAACAGAAATGAGGCAGAGAAGATTGGATGATAGGAACAGCTATTTTGGAGAAAATGACATCTTAATAGGTAATACTGATTTAGTATCATCTTGTTTTGAAGTCTCATCAAGCTTTTGTTCTTCTGTCTCCATTGGTCTAAACAGGTTGTATCTTACTGGATTTTATTATATATGATAGTATAAGCAAAAACTTTTATAGACAAGGAGATTATACAGAAACCATTGTTCATTTTCTGTTAGTTGATTCTAAATACCCTGTAATACTGTCATTCTCTTAAACAGTTTTACATTGATTTGATATATTTGATGCTACAGTATACAAAGTTATACTCAAAGATTTCAAGGAAAGAGACAATATGGTAACTACTTTTATGTCGGGATTATCTTGTGGTGAAACACTATTTTGCTTAAATGGTTATGTTCGATCTGTGCTGTTTTGCTGTTATGCCCTCTTTTACCTGAATCTCCATTTTATTATTTACTTTTTTATTTTTATCCTTTTAATTAAGGGAAAAATAAATTTTAAAATAGCAGGATATATTATAGTAACCCACTTTGACTTTCCATTATCTTGATTTAAAGCCCTGTATTGCTCTCACCATCTTGTTTTGACTGATGTTCCTCTATTCTGTTTTGCTTGATAGTACCAGGTTTGAAAGTTTAGGTAACAGCTGTGAAGATAGTGGGATTCATTATGATGCCCATTCAGGTTGACTACTATCTACTTTTGAAGACCTATAATGTCTCCAATGTTTTGGTTTTGTTGGTTTTGTTCTTTACTGTTTTGTTCAATTTTATTATAACTGATGATATAGGCAATTCTATTAGAGATAGCAGGAAGCATTATGGTAACCATTGTTGATCACCTTGTATTATGCTTTTACATTATCCATTATGTCCACCCTTTTGATTTGACTGATTCTGCTCTGTTATGTCACATTTGGTTCTACTCTCTTCCAAAAAAGTAATAAGAACTGTGGGAGCAACAAAACCCAAAATGTGTAATTGTCATTCTACAAAAGAGAGGAAAAGAAAGTGCTCTAAATGATATAATAGCATGTATATTTAAGTGTATAAGATAGATAATGATATTACTGAGTTTTGTTGGGTCATTGAACAGAACTGTTTGCAGTCTCACTGTTGGAATGTCCACTTTATAAGCTTTAATTTTGTAACTTGAACAATTATTTCTAAAATGACAATATGTAATCCATTAACTAGTGATTTCCTACTGTTTATTTTTTTTCTGTAAATCTGTGTAACTTGTACCCTTCCTCTGCTTTTTTTTTCTTTTTCTCCTTAAATAAAATTTAAAAAAAAATAGAAAAAAAAAAAAAAAGAAAACCCCTATCTTGCCTTCAGGCAAATAACAAAAAGACAAAATATTCCTGAATTTTGACTTCTCTGCAGCTCAACAATGCTTCATATTTTGAGCAGAATCATTCTGGTTTCTTTCAGAAGTCCTTGCTCCACTATTCTAAAAGTTGTCCTCACCCCTTATCTGTGTTTCTGTCTTCTTTGAATTCCACCTCACAATGTACAAACATTAATTTCAGAGATTTCAGAATTTCAGAGCATCAAAGCCCCTGAGCAGTCCTTAGCAGAGGGTAAACTGACACCATTCATCCAGATAGATGCTTCTGGAGGCCTTTTGGAAGCTTCCCAGAGGTTCTAGAAGAATTGAACCTCTTCTGCTTGCTGTGAAAAACTTCCATAGTGCATGTTTGTGTTAGTCTTTGTTCCTTTTCTGCCTCACTTTCCCATGTTTCCTCACTCCTACTCCACAGGGTAACCACCCACATCACCTTCCTGCATCAAGTCTGTGTCCCAAGTGCTGCTGCATAGAGGACCTGGGCCAAAGCTACCCATTCTGGTGAGCTGTGTACAGCTGGGGCCCTCGGGTCTTCACTTCACCACTTTTCCTGGGTTTTAATCCATTCTGGATGCAGTCAGTGGAAGTGTATGGCACTCATATGTGTTCCAGGATAAAAGTAAGATAGTCAGTAAGAAGAGGTGTTCCAAAACACTATGATTTCTAAGGACAGAAAAAGAACTGCCAGAACATAAAGTTGGAAGGAAAAACACAGGTTATTTCCATATGTTTCAATCCCTGTGCTCCCTAAATCAGACTTTATAACCAAAATAGTAGTCCTGCCTGCACGAAGTTCATCTTTCAATCAACTAGGCTACAGCAAGTTTTTCTTGGTCAGCCTTAAGCCATACCGTAAGGCCATAACAGCGATGCAGACGCTGACCACGACAGGGCAACAGTTTGCCATCGTGGAGGGCAGACCATGCTAGGGCCTCACATTCACTGATTTCTCATGAAGCCCTCAGCACCACCACTAAGCCAGCTTCTGAGTTAGCACCAGCTGAGAACATGCATTTGAGATGCCAGAAAGCCTCAGTGTTGTCTAAATTGAATTTAGATTTATGTACAGTACATTGGGGTTCCCAGAATTCAAAATGTTCTTTAATCTTAAATAAAAACCTCATCTGTATACCCTTCCATTTGCAGATCCTTGTTGCTGGCCTACGTGGCCATCAGATGCTTTAGCCACCGGGACCCATAGTTACTGTCACAGAAAAGTTCACACCAACTAACTGCTATCAAGAAGCTGAGCAATAGGGGGCTGAGATTTAGCTCAGCGGCATCAGCGCCTGCCTTGCAAGCAGGCAGTTGTGAGTTCGATCCCTGGTACCGAAAAAAGGAAAAAGACAAATAAATAAATAAATAAATAAATAAATAAAAAGAAGCTGAGCAACAGACTGTGGAGCAATCTGAGCAGCCCATGTCATCACCTCGTGTCCAGCTGAGGGATGACTCACCTAGCAGCAAAAACTCTCAGCTACTTCTGGGCAAGAAGTCTCACTGGTCTCTCTGGCGGACACTGGAAAAACATAGACCAGATCACTCTGACTCAGAGACCAAAAGGCAATTTTCAACTAAGAATGTAAGAAAATTGATTTTAAAATTGTAGAGAAAAACAGGATCTACTTTGTAAAAACACATTTTTAAGCTATTAATTATACCTAGCATCTAGCCCTCGTGGCACCCATCCCAAGTACCAGTCAGGTTGCCCATTGTGTAACATGTGTTATTCTTCTCCTTCAGATATTTCCATCTGGTAAGGAGGAGTGGGTACTGTGTCCAGACTGCCTCCACTTTACACATCATGAAACTGCCTGACTTAATAGATAAGGTTTGAATGAATGTTTATGTGAATGAATAAATGATAATGAATGAAACTAATTAATAAAATTAAATGAGGGGTAAATTGAATTGTTCCAAACCTGATATTTTAATTAATGAT